ACCCCACAAAAGCTCAAGGCATGGATGTGCCAACAGTTTTGGCTGCAGCTTCAAAAACCCAATGGTCCCCTTGCCACATTCCTTTTCCCTTCCCTCCAAATTTTTCCAGTAAATTGTCAGGCCAAAATATTGTAGCAAGGATACAGCAACCTCCTTCCCTTGGACAGCAAAGTTTTAACACATGTTCAGATATTAACTTACTCTAAGTAAGCTGTTTTCACTTGCTTTCCTCTGACTCCCAATAGTCTACACTGAAATTATACATTAAATTTCAATTCCCTTAATGCCATATCTCCAGAAAAGATCTTAATGTGAAAACAGCATGGAAGTCCAAAACCAGTTTACTTCATTGCTTTATAAAATGATCTTTTTCAATAATTTTTTTTAAATCATACTGTTATAAATCTGGGTTATCTCCAGTTCACTGCTGAAACATATTATCAGCTTGCACTTTTCCCTTAGCTAATCATGAAGCATAAGCAACACTTTGCAGGTTCCAGAAGTTATGAAGAGAATCTCTGTAAGTTTATTATACACTCACATTCCAGGTAATAAAATTAATTATAAACACTTGTATATACATTTTATGCACTTCAGGAAAAAAAGACACAGAGACTGGAAAACAACTGGAATCAGCAAATGCACCTTTTGAATTGGGCTGTTTCCTCTACTTTCTTTTTTCCCAGCAGAAAAAATGCATAATGAAAAAAATTCTATTCTGCTGACTACTACTCAAATGTTCATTTTTTTCTCACATTGGCAACACAGTAGCATTAGCAGTGCAGTGGAAAACGTGTTTGTTTGCTGAGTTGTATTTGGGTTACATCCTGCTTTGTGATACAAAGCCCCCAGTAGTGCAAAGCAGATATATCAGCTTATCTAGACATGGAGGACAACCCTCCTGCATAGGATACCCACCAGTCTCACTGGAATAATGACACTCAGACAGGTGATAAGAATATACAAAAGCGTGGTCTGTAGAATAATTTCTATCACCTGTACCAGAAGTCCTTCTGCATGCAGATTATTCTGTCTGCCTCATGAGGACAGACAGAGCCTGTGTATGACACTGAGTGATAACCTGTGTGTGTCACAGCACTGTCCACAGGGCCTGGCTAGCCTGGATGTGATGCAAACCAGCACCAAAGCCCAATTTTGGTCAAACAGCCAAGTGCCAAAATTTGCATTAGTTAGATTTGCACAGCACCATTGAAGGGAAGGAGACAGCTGTGGTGCAGTAGGAGGCAGAATTTGGTGCCAGGTCTCAGTAAATGACAAAAACAAACCATGAAGTGACTCAGCACAGACAAACCTTTTCAGCAAAATATTTCCTGTGTCTTGCTGTCATCAGCAAATGGAGAAATTCCTCTCCTAGAGAGCGTGGAGAACAGGAGATTGGGCAGCTGATAGCATTTGAACATCTCAGCACCTCACTGCCTACATCCCATCACTACTCTTAAGGATGAATATCCTCCTCTGTGTCACACAGAGCACTGCAACAACAGCCAGTAAGCCAAGCAGCAGATTAAGACACATCCCCTATCCATCATCTCCACAGCTTCAACTTGCAGAGACAGTAAAACAGATTAAAATGGAAAATAACAATATAGTCTGAAAAGCAACTATGTGAAAGTGTCATCACCTCATCCAGCAAGTCTGCTCCTTGCATTGCTTTCAGTTAGAGGCAGGAAGCACAATACTTTCCTCCAGGGTTAGTTCAGCACAGCCAGCAGCACCTCTGGGGGGTCCTCTGGATCCTATTCCGTGCCTGCAGGAGATCTCGCCCCCAAGATGAGGTGACATGGTCTGGCATGCTCTACTGCTCAGAGTGCCAAAACCAGTCTCCTGTCATATCCCAAGAAGATATTACAGGATAGCACATTTGAAGAAGAGCCCTCAGCAAACTGAGTAGTGCTTAGCTGAATCACAGAGAAACCATAGCTCTGAAGCCTTCCTTTGTATTCCTCACAGAAATGCTTTTTTCTGAATGAATCTCACTTTTAAAAAACAAATTAACACATGGGCAAAACAATGATGCAGAAAAGAGTGATTCAGGCACAAAGGTGGATGTGCAGCTGGTTCGGGTCTTTTTTTTGGTATTTGTGATGACAGAAGCCATAACTTCAAGTAAACATCTAAACATGCATTGTATAATGCAATATAAAACTGATGCTAGTTGTCTCTCGTGCAAACCTATGGCAATGCAGGCTAACAAGTGCACAGGGTGCCTAATTAAAAATACCAGTAGTGTTTAGTCCTAATATCAATTGTTAGTACAGGAAAACAGTAGTAATGTCTTAGTAATGTCTAGGCACTTAAAAGTTGAGAGAGAATTCAAGAGTGCTTTCTCATGCTGCCTGAAAAATATATTATCCAGTCTACAGTGGTATCAAATGCTTATTTCTAGGTCTTAGAAACATGATAATAAAAGGGAGAGGATGTGATCTGCATGCAGGTTAGCCTTTCTGTGAGCTATCTGCGTGTCAAGAATATTTGCAAACTTCATTAATATAAATAAGGGGAGGGAGGGAGGGAAGAGAGAGTTTAGCCCAGAAGAAAACAGCATCAGAATCAGCCTGTGATGGTTTATGCCTATGACAAAATGAGCAAGAGAATGACCAAGGAAAGGATTTTGTAGGTACTCCCACTGCTTCCTGCTAGGGTTAATTATTTGGATGTAGAAAATGCAGGACAACCTGGAAAGACAAGAACTAAACATGCTTCCCAGGCCTTGCCAGCTTTAATACCCATGGCTGTTGATGGTGAACAGTGAGGTCACAGCGAATGTGCCCTGTCAGAGCTCAGTGCTTGTCACAGGGTAGCTGTTTTCTTCTGACTGAGAACAAGGTAAGAGAGCCCTTTGTCCCAGGATCTGCAGGCTGCCCTGGCAGCCACTAGGACTCCAGCAGCGTGTGCCACCTGCAGACCTGTGTCCCCTTTGATTCCTTCATTTCCTGCCAGTGACTTTGCTCCTCCTCTCCACTGCTGTTCTGCCCCATGGAAATCCAGCCGATCATCTCTTTGCGCTTCATGCTGCGCCTGTTGTATACGGAGATCATTAGGGTGACATCAGAGAGCTGGAAGAGGGCAACCTGGAAGATGAAAGTTTCCTTGTAGACAGGGTTGGGCTGCCCTCGACGGATGGAGGTCTTGCACCGAGACATCTCCTGACCCACAGAGTTGCGCAGGCAGAGCTTTCCATAGGTATCTAGGACAAAAAGGGAAAAAAAAAAAGAGAAAATAATGTTTAGCACAGGTTACAAAATAAATGAACATGCCAAGTGGTCAAAACCCATCCAAACTCCCTCCAAGTACAGCAGCTTTGTCTGCAGTGAATAAGAGATGAGTTCTGACTACTCATCTTGGTAAAATCCATGGAATAAGGTTGTACCTCTTGGTTTTTCTCATACTCAGCTGTGGAAAAGAAGAATGCATGTTTCAGCTCTACTCTTTTGGAAGAGCAGAATATCCAGTAGGTTGCCAAGCCTAGCAAACCTGTCTAAGACTAACTGAGACTGAGCATCTCTATGGATTCTCCATGTCAAATGGTGTGTCTCCACCTTCTCTTCCTCTTCCTCACAATCAAGTTTCATTGAGGCTGTTACTCAGGTTTCCCTTGGCTGCCTCTCCACCACCCTCCTTTGGAAGAATACCTCTATCACCTATTGTTTGAGATACCTAACAAAAAGGGTCTTGAAAAAGAGGGAAAAGAAACGTACATACACAGTGAAATGATGCGATCTCCCATGATAGTTTCAAGCTTTTTCCAAATTCTCATATTGCTCTTTCTTGTGGACTCAAGGTCACTTTTATTCACTAGTTAACTCAATACAAGGAGTAAACATGCTTAGTAGTTACAGGGAAGGGATGGTCCAATTTAGTGTTCCGGTAAATCTACCTTTTAAACTCTTGCTGCCTCCTGTGTTAATTACTTCACCTCTGTTATGTGTTTGCTAATACTGTGGTCTCAGAGCTCCCAATGCTCCACAGACTCAGCTCAGTGCAAGTTTTCACCTTGCTCTGCATGTGACGGTGACAGATTGCTTGGCTAGACAAGTCCCCTGCTAACCCCTCGTAATCTGTGCCTGAGTTCTAGCAAGTGAGTATTATTTCAGAGTGTGCTGAAGATAGGAAATAAATAACAAGCCTCCGTCTCTTGTCTACAGCATTTCTATCCTCTTCTGTTCCCGTTTGATGTGCTATTTTACGCACTTATCTACTGAGCAACACAAGGTGTGAAATTACACTTCAGGTGTGAAAACACTTCTATGTCTCCAAAGCAGGGCTTTCCGCTCCTCTCAAACTGTTCCTCTGAAAAAGCTGTCAGGAGACTGACAATCGAGGAGCAAATTGTGAGCCTGCACAGCTGTACAGCTATCAAGTTACTGCGGGGAAAGTTCAGCCCAATCATTAGCTGTGGGTGCCAGCTTGGCTCCCAGTATAACACTGGAGATGAAGTAGATCTTGCCAACAAAGAGCTACTTGTTAGGCAGAAAAGCAGAGCTCTGATTTAGTTTCCTGATTGTATCTGGGAAGGAAAGTACTGCTTTATTAACAGGTGGACTAATTCTACCTTAATATTCAATGTTGATGGTGCTGAGGGACTGAAACCTGTAACAACTTCAGACCCTTCAGAAACACAAAGGCCAAGAGAGGACTCTCTTTTCTAGCTCAACTCAATGTGAAACCATGCAAGATAACCACCAGACACAACTCTTGCAGTACCCTTAGAGATGTCACTTTGCTTTGTACTGACAAACCGTAACATGAACTGAAGCATTCCTCATGTAGAAGTCCTGGCTGCTAGTCTAGGCTGCTGGGAACTCCCTGTAAACAAAGAGAAGTGGGGAGTGGGGATTTGATGGATTTTTAAATGTATTTGTCCTTTTTTTCCTGAGAAGGGGATTTCAAAATAGTGAAAGATCTCTGCCAGGCTGATTTTTTAAACACAAACAAGCAGCTAATTAGTACAATTCCTTGTTTGAACTTCAAAATTTTTCTTTTTTTCAAATTGAAAGCTTACATTTTCACATCATTTCAGTGCATTTTCCAAACCAATCCCATTTACAGTCAGAAAGATGAAGGATCCCGTTTCTGCTGACATGCAAGAGAGGTGAGTGCTGAGACCTAGGAATTCACAGATGTGCGACCCTCTCTCTTTGCTCCTGACCCAATACTTTCATTTTTCTCTAGACATGTCCTTGGTGTCACACCAATTTTCCCTCTACCCTCTGAGAACTGCTTTGCTGAGGGCATTTGACTGGGGTCACAGTAGGGTCTGAGAATGGCCAGCAAGGGCAGAGCTGGGGCATGGAGTAGCACTGGAGCCTCTGGACCTCTTGGCAGCTCCTGGGAGGGTTTCCCTGGCTGTGCTAGGGCAGGGGATGGGCAGAGAGGAGGAGCAGTATGCAAGGATTGCCACCAACACCCTCACTGCTATCTCACCTAAGCATAGCAATGTGCAACATAACCAACAGCAAATAAAGTACTTTTTTAGATTATCTTCCCTTGCTACTTGAGGGCTAGGTCACACACATACCTGTATCTCTTTTTCTAAGAAGAGAGGGAGAGGAGTGAGGTCTACATTTTACTCATAGTATGCCTTCCTATCACGCTTCCTTCTGACTTGCACCAGTACTGGCAGCTCAGGTGGGATTCATGACACCTAACTGCAGGTGCATTTATTTGAGCAGTTCCCAGAGGAGCCAACCAGTTTATAATCAATACCCCCAAAGCAGCACATTGCATGATTCAGCAGTGATCTAGTAGCCAATCCTGCCATTACAGGTGATTTAGGTTTTAACATTAATGCAAGTGCCACACCTAAAACACCTCATAAGATACTGTTTCATGATGTCCTAGTTAATTTTCCAGGCAATGAACAGAAGAGTTTCTCATAGTCATAAACTCTAGGATGTCACATCCCTGACTGAGGCTTCACTCAGCTTTTGCAAGTGAGGGGTAATATACCTGGTTTTGAAGAAAACTGCACAGCACACCACCAGTGACCTAAATCAAAGTCAGAAAAGTTGGCTTTTTCTTTAATACGCATCAGATTTGCTATACAATTCTGCACCAAGACCCTGTCTATACTACCAAGTTTGGTGGGGATTCTGCATGCATCATCAGGATCAGGCAGGAACATTCAGGTTGGAAGGAGACTACACTCAGGGCAGAGCTAATACCAGGACTCCTATTCACCCCCATGAAAACACAGGCACAAAACCAGTGCAAGTGACAAGTAAATCAGACTGCTAATTCTCCTCAAATGTATTCCACTGGGTGTATTTTACCAGCCAAAAGAATCAAGCTTGCCTGAACAAAAATAAAAGAGGAGGTGTGGATCATATATTTAGCATCTGAAATTTGCTTTGCAGAGTTGGTACATATGAGGCTGAGCTGTTATTCTGCTTCACCAAATACATTTTAAGATTGCAGTTTGTCCTTTCTGCATTATGCTCCTTGCAACATCTTTTTAGGTGTCTCATAAGAAAACACTTCCTCGTTCTTCTTCTAGTCCAATCTGGTCCTCTGAGATGGAAGGGTCTCCCCCTCCTGCTGACTTTGCCAAAGAAAATCCATCCCCAGTTACATAGTGAAATTAGTGGAACTATGGCAAAGATGAACTTGACAGTTTACTGAGGAATGTATGTGTAAGAGCATCTATTCATTATGAAGGCAAACATTTTCCATCTAATTACATGCTCAGATTCAGTAATGGCCTCATTACTGTGGTGTCTCAGCACTCTGTGCTCTTCAGGGTGTTTATTTTCATGCCACTTCTATCAAGCACAAAAGGAGAAGAGAGATTAGGGCTTACATTCTTTAAAACGCCTGAGTGCTCACCTTCTATTTAGGTACCCAGCTCACTGACATGAAGAAGAGCAAGACCTCTTAATTTCTGGGAGTGTCTGAGGCTGCAGTTTGCCCACGGTTACACAAAAGTCTGTGAAGATTCAAGAGCAAAGTCTAATTTTGCCAAGCTCAATTTTAGCACCGCATCTACCAGGCTCTTCTTTCCGCATAGGTTTTGGAACATAAGTTCTTGCTGAAGATAATTTTTACTCTAAACTCATCTTTCATCTCTGGTATGCGCAGATTGAACAATGTTCATGTCTACATAAAATATCAACACCTCTGCATTTCATACCGGAGTGAAAAGCACTAAATCAAGGAATGCTGTGAGAAGCCAGACACATTTTGGGCTAGTGCTGCATAATCTTACTCCAGAGGTTTGGGCAAGCCTCTCCTCAGGCAGACTGCTCTGTCTCCATCAACACTGCCCCAACCATAAAACACCTCTTGAGAGCTCATCTGCAAAGGCAATCAGTTTATCCGTGATTCTTCTAATGACCCATTTCTGTCATGATCCTTCTAAGGGAACTAACTGATAATGACAACTCAGGGGAATAATCAACTGTAATTTATGCGTTCTCATTTTTGGAGCAGGGATCATAGCGTGCATTCTGCTTTCATTTACCCTAAGCACTACCATTATTAGTAAAGCTGACCTGTGAACAAAACCACAGCAAATATAAAAGCACCTAACCCCCTGCTTGAATTTATATTTTGAAAGGAAATAAACAACTGAAGACTCCTGACCCCTCATGTCTGTGGACTGCAGGGTACCACACAGTGCCGTAGAGACTTTCCAACCCGTGCTCCAGGCAAGCCAGCTCATTTCCAAAAGTAGTATAAGCATGTCAGCATGCTGCAATCCAGACTAATAACAGCCGCAGTAGAATAAAGCCTTGGGCCTGGAGCTTAATTTCCCCCAGCTGGCATGCCCACGCTCCCAGCCTACAGAATAAATGGCAGCGTTGTGTGGCAAAGCAGCCCCAGAGCTCGACTCTGTGCTACTCTGTACAGGCAGCTCAATGTGAGGTCTCAGTTTGAGACCCAGGAGGCCATTAGTCTTGGCTTTACCTCCCCATTAAACCAGCAGCGGGGCAGAAATACTCTGAACTGGGCCCACTGCAGCCAGATCAGCAAAGGAGCAGGGAGAGGAATTAAACCCAAGATTTTGATCCCAGCCCTTACATTGTGAAAGTGTGGAGTAAGGCAGCTTGTGGACTGCTCTATAAATCATACAGGAGCTGAGAGCTGCCTACTACGTTGCTGAGTAGCCAACTTTCTTAGTTTTCCAAAGTTTCCAACTTTTCCACCAAGCTCAGGTCCCCTCCCCTGGGGCTGGCAGCGCTCACACAA